TTCCTGTTTCATTTTTCCTCCGTGGTCTGACATTGTCATATATATATATATATATATATATATATATATATATATATATATATATATATATATATATATATCTTATATATATAAATAACACAGTTTGCATAAAAAACCCCGCTGAGCATATCAGGGAAGCATGTGTGAGAGATGTTAATCGTTATTTAATAAGCCAGGACCAAGAAACGAAAAGCCCTCAATTTAAGATATTAAGGGACAGGTAGAGGAATAAATAGAACATTTAATTTTCACACACACATCAGAATGAGAGAGAGAGAGAGAGAGAGAGAGAGAGAGAGAGAGAGAGAGAGAGAGAGAGAGAGAGAGAGAGAGAGAGAGAGAGAGAGATGAGAGAGAGAGAGAGAGAGAGAGAGAGAGAAGAGAGAGAGAGAGAGTCATCAGTTCCATCCCCCTAGTGAGATATTGAAGAGCTTAACAAGGCTCCTCAACCTTCGAGCCTTGGAACACAGTGTTCCAAGCGTTCTGGAGTGTTTTGGAACACTTTTACAAGTGTTCCAGAACAGTGTATATTTTATAAAGCTTCCCTTGTAGCCGGAAATACTTACACGGAAGTCATCAAGCGAGGGAACAGCAACGCAAATATATATGGTGTAATGTATATATGTAATATGTATATATGTAATATGTATATATGGTGTAATTCATTTGATGATTCAAGTAATATATCGCAGAAATTAGTCAAGAATGAGGTGAATACCGTATTTTTAGTGGATTCCCGTGCAGATCGCCCCAAAACAGTCTTAAAATCACTTAAAAAGCCTTTTAACTCTGATAACCTTAAATATAAAAAAAATATATATACAAATATAACGCAGATTGAAAAAACTCATAAATTAACAGTTTCTAAAAAAAACTAAATAGTCAACACTAATTACTAAAAACAAGTTCAACGAAGATCAACAAAATCGAGAGAAAATCAACGAAATCCCGACAAAAAAATTATCGCCGTCCCTAAAATATTAGATCAAAAAGATAAATCTAAAAATAAATTGGCAATGAACTTGTACTACGAAACAAAACACTTAAACTTACCGCCCTTAACGTCAGCTCACACAACCAACAGCTCAAGGCAGAGCAGTGCTTCAGGGCGGCTCGTAGGTGAAGCTCATTGGGAAAGTCGTTTGAGGGAAGCCCTTGAGTTGAACCCATCAGGACAGGGTGGGGGGGGGGGGGGGGGGGGGGAGGGGTGTTCACCAAATTTTAATACAACAACCGTGAAGGTTCAACTCGAAGGTTTTCGATACTGATTTTCTAACCAGGAGGCCTGGTCGACGACCGGGCCGCGGGGACGCTAAGCCCCGGAAGCACCTCAAGGTAACCTCAAGGTAAGGTAAGGTAAGGTGGGGAAATTGGGGGGAAGGGGGGGGGGGTTATTTAATGCATTAAAACCTAACCACTTGATTACTGGTTCAACAAACGCAATACGGCTGTTTCTGCCACTCAGAGGTACGACGCAGTCTAGATTTCTATATCACTCAGGTGCTAGAGACTCCAAGTGCTAAACACTTACACTTCAACTTACATAGCAATAACATAACAATAACAATAATGTTAAAAATAACAGTATGTTTAAACCTGTTACACACACACACACACACACACACACGCACGCACATTCAAATTGGTTCAAATTGTTCCTGGAGATTAATACCATGATTTATGAGAACAACGTTAAGAAACTGATCTTATCGTCATTGGAAGAGAGACATGGGCGAAGGAGACATGACCCCAACGTACAAAATTCTTAATAAAATTAGTAAGACAGACAGCAACAGATAATATGATGCAGGAGAGATGTAAACGAAGTTTTCTACATATAAAAATTTAGTACTGAAATTCACAATTTCAGTATCATTGTAGCGAGGAATGACCCAGGGAATTTAGTGATAGTGGACTCCATACAGGGATTGTGGAGTGGTGGAGAAAGACTCCATATACAAGTTTAAAGCATAGATTAGACAAAACTGAGAGGGACTTGATGAAAAAGTATATCAGTTGGTTGACAATTGAAACCATGTATTATTACACAAGAGCTGAACCTCAACCCCCCAGCAAATATAAATATATGAGAAGAATTAGGTGAGCACACACTCATACAAGCAGTTAGGCAGACACACACACACACACACACACACACACACACACACACACACACACACACACACACACACACACACACACCCACACACACACACACACACACACACATACACATAATATCACATTTGACTAATTAATAACAAAAACACACACAATGAATGCCCGAAAAACAACAACATTTAAATATTAGTTTTTCGTTTGGGTAAGTGTGTAATGAGAGCGCCGGACATTAGTAGGATAATCAGCGCTGCGCTTTAAGTGGCCAAGGGTCGGCCGCAATCTCTAATCCGCGGTCCCAATTACAGCAATATCGATTTCGCGGGAAGTAGCGAAATTATGCGCCCATTAGCCGTTCGCAGTCGTGCCCGTACTGTGTGTGTGTCAATGCTGATTCCGTGATCCGTGCCCGTATGGAGCTGTGGTGTGTGTCGAGAGAGAGAGAGAGAGAGAGGAGAGAGTGAGAGGATGGATGAGGAATGTGTACGCAGATAGATGAGGAGAGATAGGAGAGGGATAGGCGAGAGAGAGGATGGAGAGTTGAGTGAGGAGAGTACTAGTGATAGAGGAGAGAGGGTGAGATGAGATGTTGAGGAAAGAGAGCGAGAGGGAGAAGAGAGGCGAGAGAGAGGAGAGAGAGAGAGAGAGAGAGAGAGAGAGAGAGAGATGAGAGAGAGAGAGAGAGAGAGAGAGAGAGAGAGAGAGACGGGGGAATAGCCAAGTTGGTTTCTAATAGTATTCTCACACTAATAAACTTAATGGAATGATGTTATTTGTTCAAAATAATAATACATTTGAACAGTGAACAGTACAGTCATGCTAGCCAAATACAACCCGGAAATCTCCCAAAGATTCGAAAGCAAGAAAATGTTGAATAATTGATACTTGAAAATATTTTGAAAAATGAACAATTGTACGTATATTAAACACTTCACACTGAACAATTATACACAATCGACATCTTTGCAAACTACAGGTGTATATATTCTACTGTGATATAGGGCATATCCTGGTACAACGGTCAAGGTATATATATATATATATATATATATATATATATATATATATATATATATATATATATATATATATATATATATTATATATATATATATATATATATATATATATATATATATGTCGTACCTAGTAGCCAGAATCACTGTTTGGCCTACTATTCAAGGCCGATTGCTATAAGCCAAGTTTTCATGAATTAATTGTTTTTCGACTACCTAACCTACCTAACCTAACCTAACCTAACTTTTCGGCTACCTAACCAAACCTAACCTATAAAGATAGGTTAGGTTAGGTTAGGTAGGGTTGGTTAGGTTCGGTCATATATCTACGTTAATTTTAACTCCAATAAAAAAAAATGACCTCATACATAATGAAATGGGTATCTTTATCATTTCATAAGAAAAAAATTAGAAAAAATATATTAATTCAGGAAAACTTGGCTTATTAGGCAAATCGGGCCTTGAATAGTAGGCCAAAAAGTGGTTCTGGCTACTAGGTACGACATATATATATATATATATATATATATATATATATATATATATATATATATATATATAGATATATATATATATATATATTATATCCTGGTTTGCACCCATGGCATATATCCTGATGAGGATATCAGGATATACCCTGATATCCTAGTGTGACGCCTCGGTATATAAATAAATATATATATTTAATATATATTGGTATAGACCCAAACATTTCAACATTCCGTGTATCATTGAGTTCAATTAATGGCCCGTGTTTTGTAGTGTTAAGGGGGAAGAGGGGGTGAATGGGTTAATGGGTGAATGGTGTGAATGCGAACGAAGGTGTGGAATCCAATTATCTCAGCAGGTGTAGGGGGCTTCCCATCATCAGTGTGGGGGGTCATCTGGAGTCAATCAAATCGCAGGTATTGGATGATATGTGTTCTCTGGGGTCATGACAGGTATTGATATGTGTTCTCTGGGGTCATGACAGGTATTGCAAGGTGTGGGGTATCCCTGGGGGTCATCACAGGTGTTGGGTTTCCTAGGGAGGGGGGTGTCATCGTTGGAATTCAAAGGCGTGGAGTTTTTCCTGGGGGTAATCACTGGTTTGGGGTCGCATGGGGGTCATCGGTGGTACTCAAAGGAGTGGGGTCATCACTAGTATGGGGGTTCTGTGGGGTCATCACTGGTATGGGGTTTCTGTGGGGGGGTCATCGCAAGTGCAGCCACATTCGAGATTATATGACTTTTCTTCTTTAATAATCTAAAGAAACTTCGTAATGAACTACCCAGCAGAGTTGCTTGGTATTTGGTGGGTGATGTATGTGTAGCTATGATGGGATGTCACTCATAGGATGAGGGACGCTGCCCAATACCCCTAACTACGTAGTTGAAGTCACTCACAGACTCACAGGATGAGTGACGTTGCCCAATAGTTTAATTCTAGCGGTATAGTCACTCACAGGATGAGTGACGTTGCCCAATAGTTTAACTCTAGCGGTATAGTCACTCACAGGATGAGTGACGTTGCCCAATAGTTTAACTCTAGCGGTATAGTCACTCACAGGATGAGTGACGCTGTCCAATAGTTTAACTCTAACGGTATAGTCACTCACAGGATGAGTGACGTTGCCCAATAAACTAACCCAATGGGAGCAAAATTAAAATCTTAATAAGTTAAAAATAATATCTTGCTGTGGCCTATAAGAATGTCGGAAGCACCAAGAAGCAAATAAAACCCCCTCACAAATATACCAAACAAAATAATAAATTACATAAACTAAGTCTTTGTTTATATTACAAAAAAAACACGAATTTGAGACGGTCGGAGATAAGACCAGGAAGAAACGCACTTAAACTCACCTAAGTTGTCTTGGGACTGTGGGAAGAGGAGCGACGTCATTGCCTGTTGATCTCCCGTCTCGCAGAAGCGTCCGCCCAGATTATGCTGCTAAAAAAAGGTGTCGACACTGGCACTCTCTCTCTCAAGCTTGGCACTCTTGTTTTCACTCACTACTAATCCTCGCTCATCGCGACACAACGCATCAAAACCATAAGTCTAGCAAGCTGGGGCTTTTACAAGGTCTGTCACCATCGCACATGTTCACAAGGGCTTTAGTCGAGGCGCTGGAGAGCTCTGTCTCGCTCTATCTCTCCTGCGTCCGACGTTGGCTAGAGTTCAGGGGTAGTAGGGGGATTGGGGGGATTGGGGGGGTTATAGGGGGGGGGGGATTGTAGAGCTGTGGCGGGGCGGCAGCAGGTCAGCTGAGGCTACGGAGGACACGGAAGGACACGGAAGGACAGTCGCCACGTCCTGCTAGGTCCCGGCCGCGAATGAATCTCGGCTAAAGGAACGTCTTGTGCTCATCTCCGGCGCGTCGCGGGGGAGGAGCCAGCGGCGAGTAGGCGGGGCCAGCTGGTGGGAGGCGGAGCCCAGCTAACACCCGCCGACCAATCGGAGCGCGCGATACAACCCATCCCGGCCCGGCCGGTATCGCTTCACCAGCATGTAAAACCGCCTCTATATTGAAGTTGATTCCTAATGGAAAGGGACGGAAATCACGTACTTGGGTGTTCATAACCACGTCCGCATGTGAGGTAAGGGAGAGGAGGGAAAGGGGGAAGAGGAGGAGGGGTAGAAGGGGCAAGAGATCTACCCGGATTGGCACCACCAAACTTATAACCACCCCTCTCTCTCTCTCTCTCTCTCTCTCTCTCTCTCTCTCTCTCTCTCTCTCTCTCTCTCTCTCTCTCTCTCTCTCTCTCTCTCTCTCTCTCTCTCTCTCTCTCTCCCTCTCTCCCTCTCTCTCTCTCCTCTCCAAGGATCTACCCCCCGCCCCCTAACCCCCTTCCTCCCCTCCCCCTAACCAAGTCTTTAACAACCTCGTTATAAATTCGGGCGGAGGCTGTCCCTTGAGGTCCTTGTTGGGACATCTCACGCCCCATTACCGCCTGCTGAAGGAGGCGACGTGGGAGGCTGCGATTGGTGGAGAGTTGCGGAAGACGCAGTGGGTGAATGGGTAATGATTGGAGGAGGAATGGAGGATTGAGAAGTGGATTGGATGGTGGTTGACACAGGAATGTGAGATGTGCTTAGTGTGGGTGTTGACAAGTCGCGTTAAGAACAGTAACGACGAGGATAACAATGCCAGAACACACACTATCTGTCTGTCTGTCTGTCTATCTATCTATCTATCTATCTATCTATCTATCTATCTATCTATCTATCTATCTATCTATCTATCTATGTATCTATCTATATGTCTGTCTATCTATGTATCTATGTATGTATGTATGTATCTATCTATCTATCTATCTATCTATCTATCTATCTATCTATCTATCTATCTATCTATCTATCTATCTATCTATCTGTTTGTCTCTCTGTCTGTCTATCTATCTATCTATCTATCTATCTATCTATCTATCTATCTATCTATCTATCTATCTATCTATCTATCTCTATCTATCTATTACTACTGTTATCACTATTACTTCTCTACAACTACTCTAAAAAATATTCTACTACCACTACCACCACATTATGTCTACTACTAATACTTCTACACTTCATCTACTTCTACATTATATCTACTACCACCGCTACTCATTCTGACTTTCCATTTGTATACAAAAGTGATTTTTCTACAATGCTTCAAGCGTATTTGGCCAAGGGGCCTCGTAGCTTGGTGGATAGCGCGCAGGACTCGTAATACTGTGGCGCGGGTTCGATTCCCGCACGAGGCAGAAACAAATGGTCAAAGTTTCTTCACCCTGAATGCCCCTGTTACCTAGCAGTAAATAGGTACCTGGGAGTTAGTCAGCTGTCACGGGCTGCTTCCTGGGGGTGGAGGCCTGGTCGAGGACCAGGGCGCGGGGACACTAAAAAGCCCCGAAATCATCTCAAGATAACCTCAAGATAGAAGTTGATGAGAGCAAATCTTTCAGACAACTGCTTAGCAGGAAAGTGTATTGTGTAATTGGTAATTTACCTATAACAGTCATAATAGGTATGCAAAGTAGCTCTGAGCTCATATACTCTGAAACTTCTATAGATGCTTACGAACGAATAGGGCTGACTGTATCACCATGACTTGTTGAATGGGTTGTTGTTGAATGGTGCTGGGAAGTATGGCAGCTTGTGTGATTGTGAAGTATGGTCACTTGTATGGTTGCGAAGTATGGAAGCTTGTATGTATGTATGAACTAAGGTCACTGGGTGTCTGGGATGCTTCCGGACGCAGGTTCGAATCCTCGTCACGGCCCTTGTGGATTTGTTCATCTGATGCATCACGTTAGTGTGATCTCTGTGTGTAAGGTCACTCATATGGCTATGAACTTAGGGACCAAAGTAATGCTGACTTTGCTTAATGTTTAATGATGTAAGTTCAACTGTGCTTGAAGACAATGAACGTAAGGTGACCATTCCCCGCGACTCCTTGTGACTTCCTGGCCTAAACACCCTTGCCGGTTCCAGTCCTTGTCCCTGGGCTTAACTCCCAGCACCACTTGCAGTAATCTTGGACACAAAACCCTGAACCTAATCAAATTTTTCCTATTCTAGCCTAAATTAATCTAATCTATCCTAACCTAATCTAACCTATCCTAACCTAATCTAACCTATCCTAACCTAATCTAACCTATCCTAACCTGATCTAAATTATCCTAATCAAATTTAGTCTTGAACACAGTCCAGGACTGAAGTAAACTCTTAGTATATATATATATATATATATATCTATATATATATATATATATATATATATATATATATATATATATATATATATATATATGAATATATATAAATATATATATATAAATAATATATATATATATATATATATATATATATATATATATATATATATATAAATATATATATATATATATATACATGGAGAAATGGGGTATACCTCTTGGGTATATATCTCAGAGCTCAACCAGAGATACCAGAGCTCAACCCCCGCAAGCACAAATAGGTGAGTACAAATAGGTAGGTGAGTACAATCACGCTCGGTTGTGGTACAATCAACAGTACCGTGCCACAAACACAGTACCATTAACAGTACCCATCGCATACGACGGTACCCTACCCCCCCCCTTTAAACCCCATCTCCCCCTCCCCCCCTCCACATACACACACCTTAAAAGAACTCTCCCACAGTACCGAGCCATTTGGTTTCATTTAAAGTCCATTGGTGTCGGGGGATCGATCGTGTCGGGTATCCAGGGCTGTCAGACTGTTGACTCCCGCCTCGCTGTCATTACACCCGTCCTCTTGCCGTCAGTCCCGTCACGAAATAATAATAATAATCTTCTTAGGGAGTCTGTCTGTCTCTCTTGGTGTTATGAGTCAACCAATTAAAAAGCCACAATGTTCTTTGTCTGCTGTACGATGGCTTCTGTCGTAAGGAGTGACGGGTGGGGGGGGGGGGGGGGGGGTCTGGACAGCCCAAAAGGCTGTGGGGGGAATAGCTAAACAAGTTGTAAACATCATTTGGTTGTTAAGTGCAATGGTTTAGCGAGTGGTAAGGGCTTGGGTTAAGTGTCAGATGTTGGTATCTTTTTCTTGCTGAATTCTCACTTATCTTCTTCTCCTCCACCTCCTCTTCCCTTCCTCACCTCTCTCTCTCTCTCTCTCTCTCTCTCTCTCTCTCTCTCTCTTCTCTCTCTCTCTCTCTCTCTCCTCTCTCTCTCTCACACAGACATGTACACCTGTCATCTCATCGACAATCAATGTAGTGTTATTACTTTCTGCTGTGGACTCAGCTCCACAATATTGTATTTTACACCATCTGTTGGTCGCCTGTTACTGTGTCGGCTCTGTTGCCCCGAGTCTCTGTTGGGCCGTAAGGTTTTCGCTTACGGTAATTCCCGTTGGCTGTTTTATGACGCTTTTAATAATTTCTTAGTCCAAGATGAACGAGAGAAGAGAGGGAGAACTCTGTGAGTAACGGAGGGGGGAGAAGACCTCTGTGAGTAACGGAGGGGGGGAGGAGACCTCTGTGAGTAACGGAGTGGGGGAAGGAGACCTCTGTGAGTAACGGAGTGGGAGGGGAGACCTCTGTGAGTAACGGAGGGGGGGGGGAAGGAGACCTCTGTGAGTAACGGAGGGGGGGGGGGGGAGACCTCTGTGAGTAACGGAGGGGGGGGGAGACCTCTGTGAGTAACGGAGGGGGGGGGAGGAGACCTCTGTGAGTAACGGAGGGGGGGGAGGAGACCTCTGTGAGTAACGGAGTGGGGGGAAGGAGACCTCTGTGAGTAACGGAGTGTGGGAGGGGAGACCTCTGTGAGTAACGGAGGGGGGAGGAGAGACCTCTGTGAGTCACGGAGTGACGGGAGACCTCTGTGAGTAACGGAGTGGGGGGAGGAGACCTCTGTGAGTAACGGAGTGGGAGGGAAGACCACTGTGAGTAACGGAGGGGGGGGGGGGAAGGAGACCTCTGTGAGTAACGGAGGAAGGAGGAGAGACCTCTGTGAGTAACGGAATGGGAAGGGAAGACCTCTGTGAGTAACGGAGTGACGGGAAGACCTCTGTGAGTAACGGAGTGGGAGGGAAGATCTCTGTGAGTAACGGAGTGGGAGGGAAGACCTCTGTGAGTAACGGAGTGGGGAGTAGACCTCTGTGAGTAACGGAGTGGGAGGGGAGACCTCTGTGAGTAACGGAGTGGGAGGGGAGACCTCTGTGAGTAACGGAGTGGGAGGGGAGACCTCTATGAGTAACGGAGTGGGAGGGTGAAACAAACCACGACTGAAACATCAAAGGGTTAGTTAAAACTCCCTTTATTGTTGTAATAAACCAGTGCCCCCCCCTGCCCCCCTTCCCCCCCCCCTCTCCTATCCCGGTGTGTCCTTGTTGTCTTTGCATTTAATCCGGTTTAATGACCGAGCTGAGTAAAATTTTGTTGCGATATTCATTGTTTTGTGTTTGCGTGCTGGGGAAGGTGTGCACAGATGGTCTCTCTCTCTCTCTCTCTCTCTCTCTCTCTCTCTCTCTCTCTCTCTGCTGCTGCATTTACATCTTGAAAAATATTTACCAATTATTTTTACTGTGCAATGGCAAATAATACAAATATTTTCTTTAAATGGAAGAGAAATAGATGAATCTAATTGGCATTGTTACATAATTTCAGATATTCTTGGGTTTGTGTTTTTATTTTATAATTTAATTCATTAATTATTTTGGTTTTCTGTACTTTTTAAGTTTTTCGGTAATGTAAGAGGAGGAAAAGAAAGTTGTTTTGAGAGATTGAATGAAAAGGGTTAAGATGAGTGAATGGGGCAAGGAAG